TGCAATAGCTGCTCCTATCCCATATACCCCTTCCCAGTGTGGTCTTGCCACTACTCTGTAAGGAGTGGATTCTAGGGGCTGGAGAGATGGTTCAGTGGCTAAGAGCACTTGCTGGTCTTGAAGAGGACCTGAATTTGATTCCTAGCACCCACACGAGGCAGCTTACAACTGCCTGTAACTCTAGTTCCAGGGGATCTGACAGCTTCTGGCCTCTGGAGGCTTCTGCATGCATGTGGTGCACATATAGACAAGCAGGCACACAGACACACAGACACACAGACGGACACGGACACGGACACATGCACACACACACACACACACTGAGAGAGAGAGAGAGAGAGAGAGAGAGAGAGAGAGAGAGAGAGAGAGAGAGAGAGAGAGGTGGATTCTAATGCATCTCCCCTCCCTTTAATCCATGGTTGGCCTTGTTACTAAATTGTAAATTGTTACTAAATATAATGAGTTCACATCTTGGTTAATGAAAAGCCAAAAAGTACAACCAAGAGATAAAAGAGTGAAGAAAGATTTATTACCTAAAGCAGGTAAGAGAAGCACTGGAGTTATTTTCAAAGCAATGAATGCCCTCCCCAAACAAAGAAAGTGAAGGGATTTTATTCAGGAAGCCTATACGTTTTATATAGGAAAGCTCATGAGAGACAGATGGCACATTCTGAGCATGCTGTTTAAGGTCACATACAAGGAGGGCATGTTTCTGGGCACTCTTAGCCCAAGGTCATGGAGCACATGTTCTAAGGTTAAAATGGTAGAAAGGAACGCTTCTGAAAAGGTTTAGTTTTTCCAAAAAGTTAAGCTGAAAAAGAAGGAAAGGGCACTGTGAAGGTGCATCAATGCAGAAGTATGCCCTTAAAGTACTTTCCTTGCTTAGAAACTAACAAGAGTGGTCCAGAATGACTTCTGGGGATGAATTACAAGGGCTCATAAAACAGCTAGAGTTCAGAATAGGAGATCACAACTCTGGATCATGGGGTAGGGGTGCTCCAACTCCCAGGACAGGATCACATCTCCAGCTCACAAGAGGGGACCACTGCTCCAGCTTCCAGGGTGGGACCACAGCTCCTGTTCACAGGAGTGGGGGCTATGGGGGGGGATATATCTCCAGCTCACAAGAGGGAATCACAGCTCCTGTTCATGAGAGTGGACCACAGCTTCAGCTCACTGGAGGGGACAACAGCTCCAGATTCAGTGGAGGGGGCCACAGTTCTAGTTCACGGGAGGGGACCACAACTGCAGGTTCATGGGAGGAGACCACAGCTCTAGCTCCAGAGAGGGGACCACAGTAATGTGTTCTAGCATGAATAGGTAACATTTTTCCCTATTACAATGAAAGGTGTCATGAACATTGTCGCATTCTTGGGTAAGTCTATAGATTTTTTTCATTTCTTTTGTACAAACACGTTAGTTTTTTCTGGACCGTAGGTAGGCAGATGTGTCATAGACTGAATCAAATCAAATAACAGAAATGCAGCACCTATCATCTGTGGTATCTATTCTGAGGTTCAAAGAAAGTCATGTGTCCTGCCCACTAAGGGTACTACTAACTTAAGAATGATCCAACTGCCACGGTGTTCCACTTTCACTTCTCTTCCACTATGTAATCCAACAAGAACGCTACACATTTCTTCCCTTGAGACAAGTGTGATCATTAGATCACAAGCACCACCTTTCTGGGCACAGGATACCTTTCTGATCCTGAGCCCTAACCAGAAGGAAATCACAGCCACCTCTTTTGTTTCTTCTTTAGCCACTCAAGTCAGTTGTTGGCTTTTATTTTTAAGATATGTTAAAGATAGATTTAGGACTGCTATGTCTATTAAATTGACTTTTTATTTATGAAATAATTGCTTTATTTTAGTAGTACTATTTACCTTAATGTAATGCCAGCTTTTCAAAATATTTGTATAGTTTCTGTTGGTGAAGTATAGCTTTCCTTACCTTTTTACTTTCAACTGTCTCATTAAAGCTTGTTTCTTAATAGTGTCTAGTTAAATCTACAAAAATCTGTACTTAAATGGCAAGTTTACTAATTTTACATTTGATATTACACATAATATTGGGTTAAATTCCATTATCTTCCTATATTTGTTTTCCATTTTCTTTCCCTTTTTTTTTTTTTTTTTTTTTTTTTTTTTTTTTTTTTTACAAGTCTTTAATCCCAGCACTCAGGAGGCAGAGGCCAGTGGCTGCCTGGGACTTGCTGGACCAGACTGGCCTCAATCTCACAGAGATCTGCGGTCTCTGCCTCCCAAGTATGGGGGTTAAAGGTGAGTGACACCACACCCAGTTTATTTTCCATTTTCCATCTGCTCTTTGGATTCTCCTTTACTATCTTCTTTTCTATTAATTTAACACTTTATTTCCCTATTCCTTTATATTTTACTTGTATCGCTCCATCTCTTGAGAGATTCAATATGAACTACTGACCCAGCTAAAGTTATCACAGTACTTTTGCTGCTTTTTTTGGTAGTAATTTTGGCATGTGGCTCATGTAGTCACATTACAAACCTTGAAAGTCATGATCATTGTCAATATTTGGGTAAATTTAAAACTGCGTTTACCCTTGCACTTCCTAGCACTGTTCTTTCCTTACTGTACTTAGGGGACTCTTACTTCAGCCAAAGTACCTCCTTTAGTGCTTCTTTTGTATTTATTTTTATATGTGTGTTATGACTCCATGTATGTAAGCATACCTATGCAGGCAATGCCCATGGAGGTCAGAGAGGGAAAAAGATCTCCTGGAACTGGAATTATGAACCACTGTTAGTGCCATGTGGGTGCTGGGAACCAAACCTGGGTCCACTGCAAGAGCAACCAGTGCTCTTAACTGCTGAGCCATCTCTCCAGCCCCCTTTTGTGTTTTCTTAGTGTGGATTTACTTGGGTCAGATTTTATCTGAAAATGAATGTATTTTTACTTAGTTTGTAAAAAATAATTTTGTTAAAATATTTCTTTTCAGTGCTTTGCTTTAAAGATGCCACTTTGTTATCTTCTGGATCCAACAATTTCTGCCACTTCTTATTGCTGATCTTACTAGGTAATACATCTTTTACTTTTGACTGCTTTTGAGATTTTCTCTTATTTATCTTCAAAGTTTTACTATGATATGACTATGTGTAGGCTTCTTTGTATATATCTGCTTTGATTTCACTGAACTTAGGACAATATTTTCTCCTAAATTGCTTTTGCAGGAACCCCTCTTAGCTCCTTGTGGTTGCTCAGCAGCAATGTAAGAATCACATACACAGTTCTTTTTCCCTCTCTGTGTTGTAGACTGGATAAATTCCTAGATGTTTTGAGTTCTTAGATCCTGCTTCTGCTGTGTCCAACCTGCCATCCAATGTGTTATTATTATTATTATTATTATTATTATTATTATTAGTCTTTTTGAGACAGGGTCTCCCTGTAGCCCCAGCTGTCCTGGAACTCACTATGTAGACTGGGGGGGGGGCATAGAAATTTTGGCAACAGTATAAGGTTTTTGAATGTGGAATGATCAAAAATTAATTCAAACTTAAATGTGTAAAGAATTCAAGTGTCTCTGGCAGTGCTCAACTATGTTGCATTATGCGACTCCAGTACAACTTTGGTTCTCAACACACATGTACAATTTGTACTGCATGTACCATGAAAACCACTGAATGCTGCTTGAGAAATCTTGTGTGAGGTTTGAGACTTGTATGCTATGAACTGCAGTGTTGTTTTCTTATTTATTATTTTTATTTTATGTGTGTGTATTGCCTGCATGTAGGTAAGTGCACCCGTGTTATGCAATGCCCACGGAGGTCAGAAGAGGCTGTCATATCCCCTGGGACTGGAGTTACACACAGTTGTTAGCTACCATGTGGGTGCTAGGATTCAAACCCGGGTCTTCTGCAAGAACAACCAGTGTTCTCAAGCGCTGAGCCAACTCTCCAGCCCCAAACTTCAGTGTTTTTACTATAAAGTTTTCTACCTTTATGGAAACATAATGGTTTAAACAAAGAATTGTTAGACAAATACAGCTGGCTTAGTAAGCAAATCTGCTTTCATCTATCATAGGTGATAAAATTATGTGTATACCAAAGATGTGTTTTAAAGTAAATTCTGTTCTGATTTTTATCACTAAATGTTTGATTTGCATGTCTATTTATTTTTGATTTTTTGAAACTGGGTCTCTGTAGCCCCAGCTGGCCTGGAACTCGCTATGTAGACCAGGCTGGTCTCGATCTCACAGAGATCAGCTTGCTTCTGCCTCCTGAGGGCTGGAATTAAATCTGTGTGCCGCTATGACAGGCTGTATATCCATTTTTTACTCCTAAGGTCACATAAAAATGTCTTAGGCTGAAAGGGGTTGTCAGTTGCAAAAGCTTAAGAAGTCCTGCTCTAGCCCATATGGCATCGGTGGCTCCTCTGGATAGGCGAGGCCTTGTCAGAGCACAGGCTCTGCAGGGCTTGAGGACTCTGCTGTGCCTGTGGGCTTCGGGGTGGTCGGGGAGGAGTTGATAGGCTTGCACCTCCGCAAATGAGCTAGTCTCTGGAGCGCACCACCTCAGGCCGTGGAAAACTGCTGGTCAGGGATCTTGAAGGAGGCTCGACTCGGGGGAAGCTGGGTCCCAGACAAACCGGGTTACTGACCTTCGGGAAAGGTGCGAGAGAGGACCAAATACCAGCAGCCGCAAGTGCCCTCAGGACGGCTCTGATCGCCCTACCGTTTGCCCCGGGCAAGGCTAGGAAGCTTGTGGCCCGGTGCGACCGCGCCTCCCAGAGGCCTCCTTCTCTAGCGCGGCTTCTGCACCTCCCGGATAGGCCGATCCTTCCACTCCCTCTCCTGCCCCTTGCAGTCTTGAGACTGAGCCCCTTACAAGAGGTGCTGAGTCCTGCTCCGTTCTGCAAGCGAGGAAGTGTGCCAGGTAGCGCTTCCTTCTGCCTGGATACTGTAAGCCTGCGGACTGCAGGGGAACCGCGCCTGCGCAGGACACGAAACGGTGGGCGGGGCCTGCGCCGCCACCGGCTATAGCGTTCTGCGCTTGCGCAGGTTTGGGGCGGCGGCTCGGGCTCTGGATTGCTATCGTCCGTTCCTCCGCGGTGTAGTCCCAAAATTCAGCGGAGAAACACGGCCGAGGTAGGTTTCTTGATGGGCAACTCAGACCGCTGGACCACAGGTGAGGCAGGACAGGCTAGGTAAAATGCCCAACATGCTGGTGCATCGCTGCGAACCGAGGCCTCCGCCCCCTTTCTAGACTTAAGTCCTTACCCTTTTGGCGTAAGTTTTGCGTCCACCCCTTCTCGAGCTCTTCCCCAGCTGAGTTTTGCCTATCCCCAGGCATCCTGCCCACCCTAACCCAGGCTTCCCCAAGCCCTGCCTTTCCAGGGCCACGCCCTCCAGTCCATGTTTACCCCTGAGCCACGCCCCCAGTGCCTTGTCCTGGCTCTCATTGCCACACCCACTTGGCCTGGCCAACTGCCCCTCCAAATCACTCTTCCCTCCCCCAAGACGCCCATCTCATTCCCTCCCCATATTTTCCATTGAAGATGTAATTTATGTAAAGTATTTGTAATTCTACTTATTACAAAATGAATGAGACCTAGATCTAGAAGCAAAGCAGACGTTTAACAAAGAATTGTTGTGTAATTGGAAACACATTCATCTTAAAACCAGTAGGGTTACACTGCCCCTGAAAAAAGAATTGAGGAGCAGCAGGAAGGGATATGGACATGTAGACCTCGATTCTGCCAATTGAAACAGATCAAGTACTAGGCAGGGAATTAGAATTTAAGCCGTCAGAACCTCAGAGAATTAATTGTAAGTCAACAGTGGACTTCCGGGGAATAAGTTAAATACCTAGTCGACTAATGAAAAAAACACATTATTTGAGGTTTATAATTTTTAATGTTTCTAAAGAATTGTGATGAGCTGCCTGTCATCACATGTGCCTTTAATCTCAACTCGAGGCAGAGGCAGGTGAATTTCTGTGAGATTGAGGCCAGCCTGGTCTACATAGAGAGTTCCAGGCTAGCTGGAGCTACAGGGAGACACTGTCTCACAAAACAAAAGAAAAAAGAATCCCTTTGTGTGTGGGTGTGTGGTCTTTTTGAAACAGGTTCTCCCTGTAGTCCCAACTGGCCTGGACCTCTATGTAGACCAGGCTGGCCTCAATCTCACAGAGATCCGCCTGCCTCTGCCTCCCAAATGCTGAGATGAAAGGTGTGTGCCACCATGCCTGGCCAAACTCCCTTTCTATTCTTTACACACATTGAGCCTTAAAGTTGAAATTAATTATCAAGCAATGTAACAAGCATTTTGTGTTTCTCTCTCTTTTTGAAGTAGACATGGAGGGGAAAATTAAATAATAAAGCAGCAGTTATGAAACAGAGTTTAAAGGAATTATGGCAACACCAGGTGACTGTTCCAGAAGTGAGTCGCAGGTCATCTCTGTTCTGGTACGTGATAAGAACTTGTGTGTAACAATCTGTACAGAGAGGCAAGCGTCAGCTCAGCTCCCAGGTGTCATGCAGTTTGCCTTGTCCTTCAGTGTGGTGGGCAACAGGACCATGCTTTAATTTAAAGCGCAGCAAGATGGGAATGAGTGTAATCACTGGGCGCCGTGCTGAGTGGTGCTGTGAACACTTCAGGGAACTCCTTAACATGCCCGAAACACCACAGTCTTCCAGTTTTCACTTGTGCTTAGTTGGTCCTAGACATAGGGCCAGAAAGATGCTTGGTGTGTTAGAGAAGATCCATGTTAACACAGGTTTCACAGTTTGATTCATATTATCAGGAAAAGTAAGTCACCTTACATTTCAAGAAATGTTGATTATGTGCAATTGACTAAATGAATATTTGAATAAAAATGTTTTTAAAAACCAAACATTTTCATGTCTGTGATCAGTTTCAGCATTTTCTTTCATTCTAATTATTTTCATATTGTTTTTATTAAAGATTTTTTTATTCATTTGTTTAATTTATATGCATGAGTGTTTTGCTGCATGTAGTAAGTGTACCTGTGCGTACAGAGCCTGTGGAATCCAGAAGAGGACAGTGGATCTCCCAGAACTGGAGTTAAGCGTGATTGTGAGCTACTGTGTAGATGCTGGGAACCAAACCCAGGTCTTCTGGAAGAGCAGCCGGTGCTACAATCTCTGAGCCATCTCTCCAGCCCCCATATGTTGGGTTTTAATATTTATTTGTTTATTTGTGACAGGGCCTTGCCATGTAGCCCTGACTGTCTTGGGACTTGCTATGTTGATGAGGCTGGTCTTGAACTAACAGTCCTGCCTCTAGTTCCTGGGTGCTGGGATTAAAGGTGTGCATCACCATGATCAACTACTGGGTTTTTAATATATAAGACTTTTATTTGTAATTGACTTATTTCATTAATTTGTTTCCCATTATCAGCCACAAAATGTTTTAATTCCATGAATGCCATATTTTTCTTTTGAGAAATTTAAATATTAGGACATTTACCGAATAACATTTTAGACATTGACTGTACGTTATGCAGAGATGAAAACTTAGTCAAATGGTTGTATCATTTAAATCTTTTATGTGTGACTGTGTGTGTGTATGTGTGTAGGCCAGAGGACAAGCTTAGGTGTCATCTTCAGGTATGCTATCTACCTCCTTTGATAACTTGGTCTCACATTGGCCTAGAGCTCACCAATTATGTTTGACTAGCTGGCCAGAGAGCCTCAGGAATCCTCTTGTCTCTGTTTCCCCAGCACTAGGATTACATATGTGTACCACTATACCTGGCATTTAAAACTTTTTTTATTTATATTTTTTTGTGTGCATGAGTGTATTTTCTGCATGTCTGTAAGTGTACCCATGTTGTACAATGCCTGAGGAGGTCAGAAGAAGGTGTGGAATCCCCTGGAACTGGAGTTAGGGCTGGTTATTAGGTACCATGTGAGTGCTGGAAATTAAGCCCGGGTCTTCTAAGAGCAGTTAGTGCTCTTAACTGCTGAACAATCTCTCTAGCCTCATACCTGGCATTTTTATGTGGCTTCTGGGGATTAAATTCAAGTCCTTGCTCTTGCAAGGCAAGCACTTTACCAACTGAGTATTTTCCCAGCCCCTCAAATCTCTTATCTTTTATGGGATGTGTTTTAAAACTCCATATTGATGTGGATTTGTCTGTTTCTGATTTTGTCAGTCTGTGTTATATATTTTGAATCTCAGTTATGGGGTACATATATTTGGGATGTATTTTTTCCTAGGTCTTTTTATTTTTATGAAGTATCTTTATATTTGTTAATACTTTTTACCTTGCATTTGAATTTTCTTGTTAGTGGTACCACTTATGTTTAGTTCTTGTGTGGTAATGTGTGTGTACAGTGTATATGCATATTTTCTCAACTTACGTTCTTACATTTAAATAATTTCTCTTTTAAAGAACTAGTTGAGTCTAATTTTGGGGTCTTTGTTAGACAGTTTCTTAATCCTTTAACATTAAATGTAATGTGTGGTACAATTCAGTTTAACATGTTACTGTTTGTTTTCTATTTGTTATAGTTCTTTGTACATTTTTTTTTGTTTGTTTTTTGTTTTTTTGGTCTCTTTGAGACAGGGTCTCCCTGTAGCCCTAGCTGGCCTGGATATCACTATGTAGACCAGGCTGGTCTTGGAACTCACAGAGAACTGCCTGCCTCTGCCTCCTGAGTGCTGGGATTAAAGGCATGTGCTACCACGCCCAGCTTAATAAGGCATTTTCTATAATTCTGCCTTTTGCCTTTATATGCTTGCTAGATTTACCTTTTAAATACTATTTTAGTAGTTTTCCAGAGAGCTACAATGTACATTCTTAACCTATCTTCTTTCTACTTCACAGTATTCAAATCTTATTAGTTCCATTTTCCATTTCTCATATATTTGTCCAATTCATTGTAATATACTTTAATTCTACATGTGTTATGACCCCAGAGTAGATAATCACTGCTGGCTTTACACTAGGAAGAGGTTTTTAATGAAATACAAGAGGTGATTTCTCTGTCTCCCCATGCATTTGCCTATTCAGAAGTCTTCTGTTTTTCTTATGTTCTTTAGAAAAATTTCCTTTTGGTTTATTTTTATTTTATGTATATGAGTGTTTTCCCTGCATGTAAATGCAATGCCTGCAGAGACTGGAAGAAGGTGTCCTCTGGACCTGCAGTTACGGACAGTTGTTAGCTGCTGTGTGGGTGCTGGGAACTGAACCAGGGTTCTCTTAAGGGTGGCCAGTGCTAGTTCCTCACTGCAGAGCCATCTCTCCAGCCCCTTTTGTTTCATTCATAGTTTCCATGGAGGCTCATACCCTTCAGCCTGAGCAACTTGTTTTTGTGGTTAGAGTGTGGGTTTACTGGGTTAACTTATTGTAACCTTGCGTTTGAAGGATGTGTTTTGCCTCAGTTTTTGAAGACATTTTTAGCTTGATAAGGAGTTTTAGGTTTGTGACTTTTTTTTTTCCTTCAGCACTTTGAAGGTAGTGTTTCCTTCTGCCCATTGTGGGGAAGCAGCCACCTCTCTGTCTGAAGCATGGAGAACTCTTCTCAATGTCCACATTTAAGATTTTCTCATGTTTTTGTTTTTTAGCAGTTTTCTGTATGTTAGAGCTTTCTACAAGGTATTGTGTAAGACAACTCTAATATAAAAGGAGATCTAAGGTATTCTTTACCAAAAAAAAGTTATGTTGAATGAATGAAAAAGAAAGAAAAAAAATCTACTTAGAGAAAGAGAGGGAGGAGAGATTGTGATTGAGCAGTTTTGATTTTGTCATTTGTGTTGACATTTCTGATTCCCAGCCAGGTTTTGGAGTGAAGAGCTTCTTTTCCTTTAAGCAATCCTAATCACCTGGTAGAGAGAAAGAGAGATGGACACAGACAGACAATAAAGCTCACAGTGCTGTACATGTGTCTCTCCTTGGTGGTGGCAGGAGGAAGACCCTGTGGACTATGGCTGTGAGATGCAGCTCCTGCAGGAAGGGGCACAGATGCAGCTACAGCCACATCCAGAGGAATTTGTGGCCATCGCAGACTATGCTGCCACTGATGAGACTCAGGTAGTTGTGCTCACTTGACATACCATGTTATGAATTTCAACATGTTCCATGTCAGAATTAAAGAAGTGTTCAAATGGGGCTGGAGAGATAGCTCAGCGGTTAAGAACACTGTTCTTGCAGAAGACATGGGTTTGAATCCCAGCACCCACATGGCAGCTAACAACTGTCCATAACTCCAGTTCCAGGGGATCCGACAGCCTCTTCTGTCTTCTGCGGGCGTTGCACAACATGGGTGCACTTACGTACATGCAAGCAATACATGCATATACATAAAAATAATAAAAATGTGTTCACATGATTAGAGCCAACAAGATCAGTGTATGACCACTTCTGGATGTGAAGATCATGGAGCAGGATGGGATGTACTTGCCCTGAATGGAGAACTTGCTATAGAATCCTCCTGTTCACATGACAATGAGGCTTTAGTGTGGCAGAAGCACATGAGTGGAGCCTCCTAAATGAATCAACTGCACATAGCTGGCCTGCCTTTTGTTTCAAAAGTATTAGGTAAGGGTTGGCAAGATAGATCAGCAGGTAAAGGTACTTGCCTGATGATCTGAATAGGATCCGTTGAGTCCACATGGTGGAAGGGGAGAACTGACTCCTTCAAGTTGTCATCTGACTTGCATGCGCACACTGTGGTATGTGCATGTGCCTGCACAAAATTAAAGTTAGGCCGTGCTCTTCTTTCTGATGGATGCCCCATAAAGAATAATTATCCTGCTATTGTTTTTATAGGTTGTTGGTAAATCACTGAGGTCATTGTGATTTGGCCACCAACAGTGGGATCCTATTGCCTGGTTATTGGTGAGATGCCAGTTAACTGGATTCTCTTTTGAATTCTAACTTCTGCTTTGGTGATTGTTTTCCAGCTCAGTTTTTTGAGAGGAGAAAAAATTCTTATCTTGAGGCAAACCACAGCAGATTGGTGGTGGGGTGAGCGTGCAGGCTGCTGTGGGTACATACCTGCGAACCACCTTGGGAAGCAGATGGAGGAGTATGACCCTGAAGACACCTGGCAGGATGAGGAGTACTTTGGCAGTTACGGAACTCTGGTATTGCTTTCCTAACTCCCTGTTCAGCTGCTGGGTTCTCCCAATGTTTGGAGCAGAGATGCAGACCTTGTCCTCCTAGCAGTGTGTAGAGTCTTCCTGTAATGTTTAGCTGTTTCCATAGAGTGAAGGCAGCCTTGCATGACACATGATGTGTGCATGCCTATGGTGCAATACAGCTTCAAATGTGGACATGGAAATCTGAACTTCATGTGATGCTTATATGTCACAATGTATTTTTCTCTTCATTATAAAGAACCAGTTTAAAAATATCAAAGTCATTCTTAGTTTAATAGTCTGTATTTGACTTGTGAGCTGTCATTTCCTGACTGGCTAGAGGTACTATTTGAGCAAAAGATTCTGAGCTTCTCTAAAAAAAGTATATGTTTTACTTTAAAATTGAAATAGAAAAAAATATGTAACTGAATCAACAGTAAACTGCTTAGTAGTCTTTTTACTCTTTCACTGTGGAGGTCCTGCTTCAGCCTCCTGAGTAGTTCTAGGATTATAGGCACTACCATATCCTGCTATTGTACTACTTTTACCACTGTGGGGGAAGGTCCACAATCCTATGCCCCAAGTGGCAACATTTTTTTTTTTTTTTTGGTCTTTTCAAAGTCTTCCTATAGCCCCAGCTGACGTGGAACTCACTAAGTAGACCAGACCAGGCTGGCCTTGAACTCACAGAGATCCGCCTGCCTCGAGTGCTGGGACTAAAGGCCTGTGCCACCACACCCGGCAGTGGCAACATTTTTTAAACCTAGAGAAAAACAGCTACTTGCAAGGTAAATGTAATACATGTGATGGTGAGTGGAAGAAGGAAAAACTGGACTATATTACATAAAATTAAAAGGTATTTAGGAGCATACTATAATTGGGGAAACTAAGAACAGGGCACTAGTGCTCCTGAAATCTGAGAGAAAGCCTTCTCAGGGCAGGCCTGTGGCTGGTGTAACTGCCTGTCCTCACTTCCCTGTGATGGCACTTGAGAGTTTCTTGCATAACCATGACTGATAAACTGTGCGAGTACTTTTATTGCACCTTTTCCTAGGTATGCTATAGTTCAAGGTTAAAATGTTGAATAAAAAAACACTGATGTATGTACATGATTAAAGCTTTCAGTCTATTCAGGAAAGGTCCACAGGTAAAAATCTGCCTCCATGGCCTGCAGGCTCCGCACACTGCAGCAGCTGCCCATCAGTTTTCCTTCAGCAGCAGTGCTTATGCTTAGATTGTTAGAGCTGTTAAGATGCTATCCTAAACTATGAAAAACTTACTGTGGAATTTATTTGTTGTGAAGAATAAGGCAATATTTTACCTTATTTTCCCCTATAAATAACTTGTGACCCAGCTCCATTTTTGGACCAGTGCTGCGTTTATCATTCCTTATGTTTCAGGGGTCTGACCACCGTTACATCTTTGTAAGGTTTGAGCTCCTGTCTTTAGCATTTTCCTGGTGGTTTTTAGGTATTTATGGCTTTAAATTATTCTCATTTTGTGCTCTCTTTCATCGGCTTGTGTTTAGTTGGCACATGATTAGGGAGAAGTGATAGCTCTCGTATTGGCCTCCCTTTTTCCTGGTATGTTAGCCTTGTTTTGTGTTGCAGAGTATTAAGGCTCTTATCATACAGGGTATGTGCTTTTTTTTAAGTTTATTACTGGGTACTTTTGGTTCATTTTTACTGTTGGGTGATGGTCTTCATGGCTTCCTAGTGTCCTAACCACCTTGGCCAGCTACTGATAGGAGGGTCCTAGGATCTCCAACTATGCACCTGTTTCTTCTGTTTCTGTTGGTTTTGATCTGTGCATTTTAAAATTCTGTTATTAGTTACAAAAGTATTTAGAATTTGATTCTTTTTTGATGACTTGATTCCTGTGTGGTTGTGAACTGACCTTAAGATCCCTGGAACATTGTTTGCTCTATAGTGTTTTATCTGGTGTCAATGCAGCCACTGCAGTTCACCTGATTTGTGTTAGCATGACCCATTCTTCATCATTTTAATGCTTAGCCCAATCTGTCTTTATGTTCAAAGTGGGTTGTTTGCAGGCAGAATAGGGGGTGTTGACTTTCTGTCCATGCTGATAGCCTCCCTCAGTCTGTCCCTTAGTTTTCATTTAATGGTAGTGTCACTGGGAAGAGCAATAGGTCCCTGAAGGCCCCATCCATACCTACTGTTGGTGTTGGCACCACTTGGGTAACATAGGAGTGACAGTAGCCTCAGCTCTGCCCCTCCCCTTACTGCTTGTCTTCCTTCTGGGGTGCTTCAGGGCTGATTTTGCAGCTTGAGTATGCTAGGGTGGTGCAGCTCTGCCTATAGCCAGGACTCTGCTAGCCCCTGAAGTGACCTTTCTCTGTTTCTTTGAGATCAGGTGTTTTCCTACCTCAGGATGTGGTGGGGCTAGCCAGGGCATTGTTAGCCCTCCCCCAGCTATAGTCTCGGTAATTAAGGGCTAAACATGCAAGTAATTAAGGGCTAAACCTGTGTGAAGAGGATTTGAGGTGTGGGGGCTGTTACCCTGTCTCCTGTGATGTGTCCAGTGTTTTCACTTGCTGGATACCTGGTGAGTTGCACTATAGGTTTGGGGAATGGGGATAATGTTTACTGATGTGTTCTAAGTGGTCCACATCTGTTTTCTGCTTACTTGACTGCCTTAGTTCTTAGTACAGAACTGGAAGTTCTGTACTGAACTTGAAGGAATCCAGAAACTTTGGTTTCTTTCACTGGCCATTGTTATTTTTATCTCCTGGTGTATTTGATCTTTTTATTTTAAAGCATATGTGTTGCTCATACTTTCAGGGCTAGGGATGGGTGCATGAGCTGTGACCCTGATCCTCCTCCTTAGACCAGAACTTGATGCAGATCCAGGCCCTTATAGTGATTCTTGATGTGTTTCCTTTAGAAACTTCACTTGGAAATGTTGGCAGACCAGCCTCGAACAACGAAATACCACAGTGTCATCCTACAGAACAAGGAGTCTCTGAAGGATAAAGTCATCCTGGATGTGGGCTGTGGCACTGGGATCATCAGTCTCTTCTGTGCGCATCATGCACGGCCCAAGGCAGTAAGTCCAACACAGCAGCCCTGTGTGTTTGCCTTCATCAGTGCCCAGGTGTGGGCTATGACAGTGTCTGACTTGAGGCTTGCTATCTGAACAATTCTTTTGCCTTTGGTTTATCTTTGTAAGACTGAAGGGAGGGGAGTGAGCAGCCGACCCAGCTATGGATAGTACAAGTGGAACAGAAAGGGCAGAAGTGACAGTGATTGTGTTTGGGACATTTGTAAGATATTACTTCAGTTCACTATAGAAAGAGGTGGGTCCATATGACTGTGTTGGGCCACATATAGATGACGTGCTTCCAGATGTGGGCCACCTTCTCCTTTCCTTCCTGGCATATCTATGCTGATCTGTGCTGTGGCCTCACACATGCCTGACACAGGTTGTCAAAATGCATGTTCACAGGGCTGTGACCACTGGAACCAGACACTGCCAGGCCAGGACCAGCATCCAGGTACTTCTCCATATCTAGATCTGGTTGTCTCTAGGCCATACATTCTAACAGACTCACTGTTCTTGGTTGTTCTGGGCACTTGCTTTGTGGTTATAGGTTGTGTGTGTTGTATGAGGGAGCCACCCAGTAGGATTGAGGTTCAGGCCTCTGCAGTGGCACCTGCATTTTGTGTAGGAGGCTCAGGTAGGAGGCAGGCTCAGCAATGGTACATTTTTCAGGGTGCTGTTCAAGGATGCGAAAGTAGTTTGACTTATACCATAGGCCTCTGTTCTAGTTAGCTTTCTATTGCTGAGATAAAACACTCTGACCAAAACCAACTTGGGGAGGAAAGGGTTTATTTGGCTTACAAGTCCTGATGAAAGTTCATCTTTGAGAGATGGCAAGACAGGAACTCAAGGCAGGAACCTGGAGGCAGGAGCTGAAGCAGAGACCATGGAGGAATACTGCTTATTGGTTTGCTCCCCTGTCCTGTGTTCAGCCTGTTTATATAACCCAGGACCACCTTCCCAGGGGTGGCACCACCCACAGTAGGCTGAGCTCTCCCACTCCCTCAACAATCAAGAAAATGCCTCACAGACATGGCCACAGACCAGTGCTATAGAAGAAATTCCCCAATTGAGATTCTCTCTTCTCAGGTGTGTCAGGTTAACAACTGAAGCTATCCAACACAGCCTCCATCCACAATGCAGCATCCTCTGTCGTCATTGTTCCTAGTACTGGTTCTGACTTAAAAGAGGTCATAGACCCCTGTGTGAGGTCAGGACCTATGCTAACAGGTATCTTTACCACGTAGGTGTATGCTGTGGAAGCTAGCGAGATGGCCCAGCATACGGGCCAGCTGGTCCTGCAGAATGGCTTTGCTGACACCATCACTGTGTTTCAACAGAAGGTAGAGGATGTGGTGCTGCCCGAGAAGGTGGACGTGCTGGTGTCCGAGTGGATGGGGACCTGCCTGTTGGTAATGCTGGGCCTGTGGGTGGTGGAGTCTCAGTTCTTCTGGACCTAGTACCCTGGGCCCATCCCTGGAATCTTAAAAAAAATCATGATTAATTTTGATTTTTTTTTCCTGAAATCAGTTGTTATTAATTTATTGAATGAGTATTGTCTCAGTGTCTGTAATCTTCAACTGATCAAAAAATTATATAACCTTATGAGAGATAGGTAAATTGAGTCAAAATCGGGAGAAAGCACCAGGACACAGACAAGAACTCTGGTGGGAGTTTATTGGTAGGGAAAAACACACGGGACAGTCCTCAGTACAGGCTGTTGGCTGGGGGCTTTTATAGGGGGTTTTGAGGGATACGGAAGGCGGGAAGATTTTTTTAAAAAAACAATTTCGGTAGGGTAGAGAGTCCAGGGCTTATCGGAGAGAACAGCCTCTGTCAAACTGCCCCCTTCCATCAGCCAGGATCTGGGTCATGGGATAAGGGGTTTGTTTATCTTCCAAGATTATTAAAGGGGAAGCAGGCTGTGCTGAAACAGCTCTTGCAGCGATTGGGTCTTGGGTCATAGGTGTAGGGAGTCTCTTTATCTTGTCTGAAGGTGGTCAGGGTGCTCATAAACTCAATCTCTTTAATTCCAGAGGGCCTGCAAAACCATGAGGCCCTGTTGCTTTGGGGAAGGGGTTGCTGTAGATCCAAACCCTAACAATGAGAAAACTTAAGCCATAGTTAATGTAACTTTTTCCCAAGTTCTTTATATTATCTTCTTTTTCCTGGGATCCTCTAGATTTCCTGGAAATCTAGAGCTCAAGAGGAGGCTGTTTCTTGAGTCAATGTTTTCATCTTCATGGCTCTGCTTGCTGTAGGCTGGCTCTGGCACTGGCTATGAGATGCTCAGTGTGGTTGTCATGTTCCCTGGACCTTGAGAAAGGAATTGAACTACCCTGGTTACTTGCTCACACATCCTGCACCTCCCTTGTCATTCATACCACCAACCTAGGTAATGAGCATCATGCCATCTGCCCAGTCCTCTCTTGCTAGACTTTATATTATGGAACCCAAGACATTTTGTGTAACATGTCAACCTGAAATTTAATCTTTGTGTAAAAGTCCAGTAAAATAACCTCTGGATGAGGGGTCTAGGTGGTGGTTTATGCTTTTGAGAAGATCCCTTTGAATAATAAGTGGTTGGTGAGTGCTGCCCCTTACAATGCAGACATAGAAGGAATGCCAACAGAAGGCATTGGGTCTTGGGACCTGTTGGAATTATGTTGTCAGGAGGTGAAAGTATTAGGAGATTTGATATTTATGATCTGTGCTAGCTTCTCAATAACATATGTGGATTCAAAGAATGATGGAAGAAAAGAGGGACAGTGCTGTTAGTCCATGAGGGAGGCATCAGCCTTTGTCTTAAGATCTATGTTCATTCAGTAAATGCTCATTTAGTGCTTGCTGCTGCTCCAGCTGTGGGGATGAGAAGAGGACAGAGTAAGCCTGTGGCAGAGAGGTACCTGCTACAGTCTAGCTCTCATGTGGCGCTAGGAGATGTGGGAGGCAGGGGTAGGGTGAGGAGGAGCCTGGGAGGCCTAGAGACATGAAGGCCAGGTTCCTACTAATTCTTTTATCTAAAACCTTGAAACTATGTCTCAGGTACCTGATTAGAGACTATGTTGGGAACATGATGTACAGCCACAGATTGGGTCTAGTTGAATGGTTGGGGTAGGGAATGTTGATATCTTGGTGAGGGGACATCAGGAGTCAAGAGCTCCAATAGGGATATGGTCATGAGGCCAAGCCCTGCAACTGACTGTAGGGAGAAGTGCATGGTGGAATCAGCCTGTGGGATAGATGGGGCATTTTTAGAGGTTTGATGGATAGTGGAGAATGCTTTCTCAGGGATCAAGTTCTTAGCTGGGCGTCCAGTGGGTTTTCTATAGGCAGCATTCAGGCCTTAGAGAGTGTGGGGGAGGTCTTTAGGAGCCAAACTGTGTGTGTGCTGTTTTTGGCATTGTAGATTGGTATAGCTTTTTTTTTTTTTTTTTTTTTTTTCGGTCTTTTTGAGACAGGATCTCCCTGCAACCCCAGCTGGCCTGGAACTCACTATGTAGACCAGGCTGGCCTTGAACTCACGGAGATCCGCCTGCCTCTGCCTCCCAAGTGCTGGGACCACAGGCTTGCGCCACCACACCCAGCTTGGTATAGCTTTTTGAAGCAGGATATACTGGGTTTTTTTCCGTGTGTGTGTGTGTGTGTGTGTGTGTGTGTGTGTGTGTGTGTGTTTAAGACAGGCTCTCTCTGTATCTCCAGCTAGCCTGGAACTCGCTGTGTAGATCAGGTTACCATCAATCTCACAGAGATCTGTCTGCCTCTGCCTTCTGAGTGCTGGGATTAAAGATGTGTGCCATCACACCTGGTGATATGCTAAGTTTAAAAACATCTGTAAATGAGGGTCTGATGTAATGGCTCAGCAGGAAGCCTGATGACCTAAATTCAATCCCTGGGACCCACATGGTTGAAGGAAAGAACTGATTCTTATTAGTTATCCTCTGCCTTCTCTCTGCATGCACACACAAATTAATTAACTAAAAAAAATTTAAATCTTCATATTGATTATCCTATGGAAATAGATTTTGATAGAAATTTGTATTTAAAAATGCTCATGACAGCTGGGCATTGTATATACCTTACAGCTTCAGCACTTGGGGACTGGAGGCAGGAAGGTTACAGTTGAGGCTAGATTGACATAATGAGACTATGTCTCCAAAATTTAGTTCATGAAATTGTCATCAAAAAAATGTTCAAGTGAAAAAATGAAAGAGGAAAGCATAGAAACAGTTATGGCAATCCATATGGTCATTAAAAAAAATTATATTTTAGGGGCTGGAGAGATGGCTTAGTGGTTAAGAGCACGGGTTGCTCTTGCAGAGGATTCAGGTTTGGCTCCCAGTGCCACCTCCAGTTCCAGGGGAATCCAATGCCGTCTTCTGGCCTTTGTGGGCATTGCATGCATGTGATGCATTTATATACATGGAGGCAAAACATACACATAAATGAGGGGCTGGAGAGATGGTTCAGTGGTTAAGAACACTGACTGCTCTTATAGAGGACCTGAGTTTGATTCCCAGCACCCACATGGCAACTAACAACGGTAACTCCAGTTCCAGGGGATCTGATGCCCTTTTCTGACCTCTTTTGACCTCTGCAGGCATTGCATAACACCAGTACACTTATACACATGCAGACAAAACACTCATACACATAAAATAAAAAAAATTAAAAAAATGAACAAATTTTAAACAAATTACATTTAGAAAGATTTTGCAGTAATCTTAGCTGAATAACATTTTTGGGGGGCCTTTTTTCTTATTTGGAGACAGAGTTTCCCTATGTAGCCCTGGCTGGCCTGGAGCTTATTTGTAGACCAAGATGGCCTTGAACTCACAGAGGTCTGCTTGCCTCTTTCATCTCAAGTGTGTGCCACCATGCCTAGTGTAATATGATTTTTTAAAAAATGAATGTGGGGGCTGGAGAAATGGCTCAGTAATTAAGAGCATTGACTCCTCCTGCAGAGGACTTGGGTTCGATTCCTAGCACCCATGTGGTGGCTAACAACCATCCATAACTCTGGTTCCAGGGGACCCAATACCCTCCTCTGACTTCCGTGGATTGCACAACTTACATATATGCAAGCAATATACTCATATGCATAGAAAGTAAATAAATAAAAATAATAAAAAATGAGTGTGTACTATATGCTTCTTTGTTTCTTTGAAGTATGTTAGCAGTGACCTGCCTTCAATTCCAGGTAAGAAACAGGGATCTCCTGCCTGTCTCTTCAGTGCAGCTGCCAGTTTTGGGCAGATGCCAGGAGAAATTATTTCAGACTGACCTGAAGAACCACTGAGCTGGCCCCAATTGCACATTCTCCTTTGGGTCTCCCTCTGGGTACAGGAATTCAGCAACTTAGGTGAAGTGGGCCTGTTCATCTGAAAGCTATGATCTTTTACCAAGATCAAATAGATGACCCTCATGGGTCTCAAGCAGTACAAAGCCCCTGCAGGCTTGACTGTACTAATTGTGATTATAATAACCACAGACTGCAAACAACCCCTGTGTCTTTCAATAATTTTATTGATATACTGGCAAATCCATACCATGGAGCTAGCCATTGAAGCATGTGATCTGGTGAACAGTACCAAAGACCCACCACTGGTTGGGGAAAGCCAGCCTCAAAAGTCACTGTGTGACTCCATTCAGATGACATGCTTGACAAGACTGAGACCTGTAGAATTTTTGGAGTTCTAGGGTTGGAGGGTGTGTGATCAACATTGGATGTTTGTGGTAGTGGAGCTACTGCCTGTCCTGCCATGACTGTGGGTGCATAGACCACATGGGTGCCCAAGTTCATGTAGGATGTATACCATGAAAGACACTTCAATCTGATGGTAGAAAATAAAACTTACTTGTATATTTTGTATATGTGCACATTTGTGAATGCACATGGAAGAATACTTGAAAATAAACCAGTTACATCAGGTGCTGGGTTTTCTTGTGATTTTAATTTTGTTTGTGCTTTTCTGGATTGTGTGAATTTTCACATGCTTTATTTTATTGTAAAACTTGTTTCAATTACTAAGAAAAGCAAGTCCTCTGTTGTTCTCCATCTGTGATAGCATAAGGCATTAGCCTTCAGCCCCTGCCTTGTCATTTTCTCATTCCTGAGTTTGAAGTGAATTCAGGTACCAGGGAAACAGCTTTTCTGTGTTGGTCCTTCTGAATCAGAGGTGGCAGGCCTCCTTGATGGGACTTCCTGAGAGCTTGAGGAGGAGGAGGTGGAGCACCGGTTCTTCTGACTTAAGGACTATGGTCGTCTACTTGGCCGTAGGCTTGTCAAAATCCTAGGAATACTCTAGACCAACCGATTTTGTTTGTCATGTAGAGCCATGCAGCACTTAGCGACACTTAAAAATCCAGTTGTGTGACTCCTAGGTGCCAGAATGGGAAGTGCAAGGATTTCTCAATTGCTAGCCACCCATGAATCTTAATTCAATGGGAAGTGACATGACTTAAACCCAGACCATGACACATATGTGACATTTCCATGTAAGTGTAGGATAAACCCCAGGTTCTCACACAGGGTTCACTGACCTGACGGAAATAGTCTTGGTGTGAAACTGAAACTCCAGGATGGGCTGTAGCATTAAGACTTTGGCATGGCAAGGCCTCAGTGATGTGCCCATGTCTTTTCCTCCTGTGCAGTTTGAGTTCATGATTGAGTCCATCCTGTACGCTCGGGATGCATGGTTAAAGGAGGATGGGGTCATCTGGCCAACCACAGCTGCACTACACTTGGTGCCCTGCAGCGCTGACAAAGACTACCACAGCAAAGTGCTCTTCTGGGACAATGCCTACGAGTTCAACCTCAGTGCGCTCAAGTAGGTGTGCATGAGCACTGTGCAGGGTTGACCACTGCGCAGGTGGGCTTCTGGCAAGAGGGAAGGAGCTGGGTGGGCAGACAATTGGTGAAGAACTTACTGTATGCCACCTTGGTGGTTTTATGAGTATCTGTTTCTCTTGTTACTCTTTGCTCTGTGGGAGTAAAACTCTTTTGTTTTATGATGGTTGTCCCTCACACCCCCTCCAGTAACAGAAAAATCTCAAAAGCAGTGCTGAAATGTTCCCATTTCTATCTCTTCCACTTTCCTCTGCCCACCTATCCCTGACATAGTTATTACATAGGGAACCTGTTGCATTCCCTCCAATCTCAACTGTGGCAGCAGTCTCAGTTCATGTGTTCCTGGAGGAGAATTCACAATCAGGACACAGGTAGAGCATCAAGTAGGCAATGTTTATTTGAGCAGATGCATAAGTAAAAGTGGGAATTAAATACAGCCTCCAGGGTGGAGGACAGACTGAGCTGAATGGCAACAGCAAAAGCCTGCCTATAGTTTCTGGACTTACCATTTATCTTCTCATTGCCCACCCTTGGGGTGGTGTGAGGTAGTTCCTTTACCGAACAGTCAGAGGATTTCTTAGGAGCCATCCATATCCTCAGTTCAGTCTCTTTGAATTAGATGTATTAGATGCAAGAAATATGCAAAAAGATGTAACTTTCCATAAAGTTGAGAAGTTTACTACAGGAAAGGGCAATATAATGTATGTGTGTTCCTGAGGGGCCTTCCTGGGAGCTAACCAGAGCCTGCTGGGAATGGCTTTGTTGTTTTCCTAGAGCCCTGTCCTTCCACTTAGCTGGTTAGCTTGTCTATCTCGTACTTAGCTGTAAGTCCTTTTATTTACCTTCTTTGGTATTTCTGACCATATCACTTTCCAGGGGTGGGTATGTTGGTGGTGAGGCATGGGTCCACAGGCATTTTATTTATTTATTTTTAATTAGAAAAGCCAAAATAGGAGCTAGAGAGATGACTTAGAAGCTTTCAGAGGACCTGTGTTTAGTTCCCAGCACCCACATGGTATTACAGTTACAGCTGCCTGTAACTTCAGTTCCAGGGGATCCAAAGCCTTCTTCTCTCCTCCACAGGCTCCTGCATGCATGTGGTACACATACATATACTTAGGCACATACTCATACACATAAAATTAAATAAATCTAAAAAAAAGTAAAACTTAATGATAAAAAAGCAATATAAAGGCATGAAGCCTTCCCTAGTTAATATAAAGAATCATTGTTTCCTCCATCAAAATCCCAAAGGGAAGAGAGACAGAAGGTGCCCCCACACTGTAGTTCTACAGTTCATCTGGGAAAGCATGGTAACAATGTCACCAGTTACCTGGTTGGGCGTTTTCTTGCTCTATGAAGATAGGAATCATGGATAGGCAAGGAGAAACTCTTCAAGTGTTAGTCTCTGGCAGCTTTCCTTTCCCTCCATGCTTGGCAGCAGTAGGCAGATGGAAACAGCTGTGGTGGTGCCTTTTATTTTATAGTTCTCATGCAGGCCTCCGATTTTAGGAACCAGCAGCCAGTGTTACAGCTCTTACCCTGAGACCCTTGGCTCAGAAGACTTGGTGGTTCACGGGCACTCTTCTGTTGATCAGAGCCTGCAGTTTCTCTTCTGTGGCTCCTCACAGCCTTCTTTAGTCTCATTTCCCACACTTTCCCGATTTCTTTCCTCTACCACTGCCCTTCTTTCTGCCCCAGCAGTACTCCAACTGTTAGCTGCTTCTTTAGCTCTTTGAACCCTTGCTTAACTTGGCTGCTGCCAGGACTATGCTGGCCTGTCTGCCAGATCTGCTTGGGGAGGCCTTTGAGGATGTTTGGGAGTTGGGACATCATCCACCAGGGCCTCTGTGGAGATGGTGCGTGCATACCTCCACTACCACCCCTCAGCTTGAGCAGTTGGCTGCTTTGCTACTTACTTACATAGCTTGGCCTGCTGACTGCACAGCTGTCACTACCATTCTGTCTCTACCCCTCTATCATTATTGCTTCTTTATAATACTAACTCAGCCTGTGGTACTAAAAGTGGGAAAAACCAAAAAACCCCTCAACTGAAGCCTTTTGTTGGGCCTAATGCTGCAACAGCAGGGGAGGCAGAGTTTCTCCGAGTGGACTCACTGAAAGAGCCTTGAGAGGGCTATGTGTATATAGCCTGAGAAAGTGTTTGGACCAATCACAACTCTGCCTCTTAGACCCAATCACTGAAATTATTGAGGGTTATGTTTGGAACACTCAGTCTTTATTTTAACACCAGTCACAGCAGTCCCTTTGTAAGACTTCTAGGGGAAGTTCACCCACTGTCCAATGTAGAAATGTTTGCAGAGTCATTTAAAGTTCATCTATGTTTGTGTTAGCTAAAAGTCTGGTACAAAATGTTTCTAACAGCTCTGGCTGCAGCAATACCTTCAGGACCTGGGGCCTTCAGCTGAGATCGTCCTGTTATTTTTTTTCCAGGTGTTCAGATGGATGATGATGGCATAAGTGTAGGATTGATAGACTCTCCCTAGCTGCAGAACGACTAATAGCTGCTAATTAGGGAGTCAAATTGCCCATTTCCATTATCTTGGAGTGTTTACAATGTAAATATAAAGAGCTTAATAACATTATCACTGGTTTTAACAGATTTTAACAGTGCTTTAACAGTAGATAACGCCCCAGGGTTCCCCTCTCTGTCTTAGGAAGGGCTGATGCCCCAGAAAAAGAAAGGCAGGTGAGTAGGACTGGAAGCAAACTGAGGGCAGAATGGCTCCCAATTAGTTCTGAGGGGTGATGGCTGAGTCGGCACATTCCTTATTGATTAGTCTTTTGCAGGAATATCTTTCCGTTCCCCTCTCATACCAAGCACTAAAACTTAATTCCATGTGAATTTAAAAGTATTGCGTTAAGGCTGGGTGAGGTGGTTCACACCTTTAATCCCAGCACATGGGAGGCAGAGGCAGGCAGATCTCTGTGAGTTTGAGGCCAGCCTGGTCTACATAGTAAGTTTCAGACCAGCTGGGGCTACAGGGAGACCCTGTCTCAAAAAAGACATAATAATAATAATAATAATAATAATAATAATAATAATAATAATAATAAAAATAAATGTTAAAAAATAAATGTTAAAACACCAACATCCACTATAAGAATCTATGGGGCCTGTACCAGTTCTTAGCTGGTGTTCTGGTTTGTTTCTCCATTTCTGTGACAAAATACTCTGACCAGTACCAACTTGGGGAGGAAAGAGTTTATTCAGCTTACATCTCCTGGGTTACAGTTCATCAGGAAGCCCAAGGTAGGAACTCAGGGCAGGTACCTGGAAGCAGAAGCTGAAGCACAGGCAATGGAGGAATGCTGCTTACTGGCTTGCTCTCTTGGCCCCCGCTCAGCCTGCTTTCTTATACAGCACAGGCCTACCTCCCAGGGGTGGCACCACCCACAGTGGGCTAGGCCCTCCCACATCACACAACAATCAAGAAGATGCCCTACAGACATGGCCACAGGCCAGTTTAATGGAGGCAGTTCTCCAGTTGAGGCTCCCTCATCCAGGTGTGTCAAGTTTGACACTAAATCTATTTAGCTATCCAGCACAGTTGGAGAGGAAATCCCCAGAAACAGAGATTGACATATATACTGGTTTGGAGTTTATAAGACTTGATAGAGTCTGCATGCCAAAAATGAACAAAAACCTAATTAAGAGGCCATTAGAAAAAGACAAGTATCTTTGTGAGATCATAGCCAAATTACTTGAATAGTCAAGCTATAAATATCATAGTAACAATTACAGTGTTTTTGTGTTACTTGGCCTATCAGATGATCAAAGATTAAAAGTCATCTGCTTGCTGAGTAGCAGTCATCTGCTTGCGCTGCACCATTTTGAGAGACGTATCTTCTGTCTAGAACTGCAGAGCCTTGCAGTGGGTGTTGGGCATCCACTCCACAGTCACTACTGTATCTTTCACACAGGTAGTGTTCAGGTGTGTGTGGAAGGCATTGGAAACAAATGACTCTGAAGGAATGTGGTCAAATTGCTATATATCCATATGAGGAAGTCTTCTGCATTGGTTAGAAAAAACATGATTTTGGGGCCTGGGGATATAGCTCAGTTGGTAGAGTGCTTGCCTAGAATACATGAAGCCCTGGATTTGATCCCCAGCACCACATGAAACCAGTTGTGGTGGGGTATGCCTATAATCTCAGCTCTTGTAAGGTGGAGGCCTCAAAAGAAAGAAATAAAAAAGAAGAAAAAAAAAAACCCGTGGATTTTTTTTTCCAAACAGGTGATAGGTAGTAAAGTTGACAGACTAACCATTTATACAGAATGGTTCCTATTTTGCATAAATAAATGTTATTATGTGTATAGGGGAATACCTAATACACCAAAGTGCTAAGGGTCAGAAGTACAGGGGATTTAAAAATATATTGTTTTTATTTATGCATATGAATGTATTGCCTACACATATGTGAGTGCACCTGTGTTGTGCAATGCCTCAGAGGTCAGAAGAGGGCATCAAATTCTTAGTCATCATGTGGATGGTGGGACTTGAATCTGGGTCCTCTGCAAGAGCAGTCAGTGCTCTTAACCATTGAACCATCTCTCCAGTCCCACAGAATTTTTTTTATATTGATCTATTAATTTTCTGAAACACTCATAATTATTTTTATCATCAGAAGTATATTAAGAAATATGCCTATATATTATTATTATTATTATTTTTTGGTCTTTTTGAGACAGGGTCTCCCTGTAGCCCCAGCTGTCTTGGAACTCCCTATGTAGACCAAGCTGGCCTTGAACTCACAGACATCTGCCTGCCTCTGCCTCCTGAGTCCTGGAGATTTATTTTTAATTATGTGTATGTGTGGGAGTGGAGATTTGTGCATGTGAGTGCGGTGTCCTCAGAGGCCAGAAGAGGGAGTTGGATCCCTTGAAGCTGGAGTTACAGGCAGTTGTAAGTCACCAGATGTGGGTGCTGGGAACTGAACTCTGGTCCTCTGCAAGAACAATATGTGTTCTTAACCATTTACCCTTCCCTCCAGCCCCTGTACACTATTACCTTTATTAAAAGATTTTCTTTGTTTGCTATTTCAGAAGTTACTGCTGTCCATAATTTAAAAAATATTGCTGGTAACATTTTGGCCAGCACTGTGTGCCAGCACAGGTGTAGTGAAGGGGATGGATACAAGACAGGGAGGAGGTGGGGGGGCACATGTACAGGGGGCAGTAGGAGGACACAAAATTGGGTGAGAGTGTATATCAGCACCCATGTTTGTGCAGTACCTGTGGGGCCTGCTCTTTGTCTCTTGCTAAATAAACTTCCTTAACTATAGCACATGTTTTTTTCTTGTGAGATTGAGGTATGGGCTCCTGTTCTTGTTTCAGGAATAGCCAGCTGTAGGAGCATCTTTTGTGTTTTCTATGTAGTATGAGGTCCTCAGAAAGTATTTTGAGATAAGTGGATTAAGAAGCTGAAGTATCCATACTACATGAGAATCCTGACTTGTGACCATGGTTCTGAGTGCTCAGACTCCTGTACAGGACCCCAAAGGCCCCATGACTAACAGGCTCTAAGGGCTGATCAGGTGAGGCTCAGCAAGGCTGGAGGTAGGCCTTGCTAGCAGGACATGGTTCTCCAGATTGGGCTTCCAGGGCTCACTTACTGCCATTATTGTATTTAAGGCTGAATTCTTGGCAATGTCTTGAGCCTTTCCTTTACCTCCCCCTGCCCAGGTCTTTAGCAATCAAGGAATTTTTTTCAAAGCCCAAGTATAATCATATCTTGAAGCCAGAAGACTGTCTCTCTGAACCATGTACCATATTGCAGTTGGACATGAGAACGGTGCAGATCTCTGATCTGGAGGTGAGAGAACAACCAGCTTCTGCTGTTAAATTGATGCACTTGAGATGCTGGGCACTGGCCACAGCACATGTGGGGAGTGTCTACTGGCTTTATTACACAAACAAAGGAACCTGTACTCCATTTGCCACTAATTTTTTCCCCATTTTTCCCTTTTATGTTCTATTTTGATTTTGTTTCTCATGCTTTATGTTTTTTCTTTATATTTAATCTTTTTAGTGTCTTTAGTTATTTTAGATTTACATTCTTGGCATCTTAAAAACCATAGAAGAGATATTCCATTTATTTTGGCATAGTAATTGAATGACAAATTCATCTATTTACAGTAACCATTGATGATAAAAATTTCCCCCTCCCAAGGATATTTATTTTTTTCTATCCCTCCTAGTCCCCCACCAACTCCTCCCATGCTCCCCTACTTCCTCTCAATTTCTTGTCCTGTTCCTTTATTATTGTTACATACACGTATATTGATAAATATACATACATATTCTATTTATATAGTGCACAATGCACTGAGTCCATTTAGTGGTGCTTGTGTGTACCTGTGTTTAGGGCTGCCCACTTGGTAATAGATAACCTCTCAGGGAGCTAGTCCCCGCAAAAAACTGATTCTGTCTCAGCATCCATTGATTGCCTGGAGCTCTTCATCTTGATGTGGGGTTAGATGCCACAGAGTAGATGGCAATGCCTTAACTGTATGCATGTTGTTAGGCCCAAGGGCCTCTTCCATCTTTTTCAAAGCAAATGCTAACCTTCTCTCCTTTGATACATAACTGATGACAAAATTCTCGACACCTTTCCTGTGGTTTAGGGTTAGGTTCAGTCACTGCTGCATGGGCAGCCTTTGGCAGTGCAGTGGCATAGGTAGTGGAACCCAAGCCAGTTGAGGCTATCTGCATGACCCAGGGTGGCTTGTTGTGTTGTTGGGATGAAGGTTAAGGTTTGGATTGGTATCAGAGTGATCTGTGGCCCCAATATGCTCTCCTATGCTTGGGTGCAGACCATGCATGGTGAGCTGCGGTTTGACATACAGAAGTCTGGCACTCTACATGGCTTCACAGCTTGGTTCAGTGTGCACTTCCAGAGCTTGGAAGAAGGCCAGCCACAGCAGGTGCTCAGCACAGGCCCACTGCATCCGTGAGTGACCGCACTGGGGAACTGGGGGAGGTGGTGAGGTGGGGTAGGGAAATAGAAAGTGGATAGAACAGGCTGGTTCATTGTGCTTCAGGTGCCCTCAGCCAGCCATGTGGGACTCTCCCCTTGCCACTGCCTTGGTTATTCACCACCAGATGATTAGACTTTTTGATGAGCTTCCCTAATGTGGACTTGCATCACAGTACTTGCAACACTGCCCTGACCTTTCCTAGACCCTCAGCCCGTGAGGCTGAGTAAATCCTTTGCCTGGCCTGGTACTATCCAGCCTCTTCTACTTCTGCAGTGGTGGCAGATTGGAGACCATGTGGGTGTGCTCCTACCCCCCCCCACCCAATGTGGCCCAGGTCAGGGAGGAGAGAAAAGCAAGGACATATGGGGAGTGAGTGGACCTGAAGGATAGCCCAGGCTGGAATGTTGGATATTGTGGGCATGTGGACTGACATCAGGCCCAAAGAGCTGGTGATAGCACTGAGGTACAGAAGTATGAGTCCCAGAGCTTGTGACTGCCTGCCTGCAGTGTTAAACTGATGGGCCCACACTAAACACACCTCAAAAAATGACTGGCACCCACAAAAATGACTCGCTTGGCTTGGCTGTGCCACTGCTTAACCATGGTGATTCAACCAGGCAGCAGCAGCAGCCTAAGAAGAGGCAGAGTGACTGAATGGATACCTGTCCTCTGGCCCTGAGGGTCCAGGACCCTGTGTAGTCATTTGACCTGTGCTTCAGTCTTGAGTGCCACCCAGGTGAACCTCCTCACCTTCTGGAGCCTGACCCATTTCTAGAAAGTCCCCTCTGCTGCATTTGTGGCAGGGTATCTGCCTCCTGGCTTTGATCCCAGTGTATCCCATAAAGACTTTTGGTCATAGGGTGGACCGACCCTTGTTTAACCTGAGATTAACCTCCATGTTCCCAGGTTCCTGGGAGGGGGCAGGCTGTCAGTGCAGATCTGGGCCTCCATAAGGAGCCTGTTGGTGCTGCCAGGTGAGGCTTGTAGGTGATCAGTTCTGTCTTTCAGCACCACACACTGGAAGCAGACCTTGTTTATGATGGATGACCCAGTCCCAGTCCACACTGGAGATGTGGTCACAGGTTCTGTTGTGTTGCAAAGAAATCCAGTGTGGAGAAGGCACATGTCCGTCACTCTGAGCTGGGCTGTCACTTCGGGACTAGATCCCACATCTCAAAGAGTAAGATATTTATTTGTAATATTATGTCTTCTAGGTGCTGGACCTCAGGGAGACAGCTCTGGGTGGTTAATAACAACCATGAAAATGCAGGGTCTCTGTATTAGTTACTTTTCTGTTGCTGTGATAGAAACACTAACCAAAGATACTTACAGAAGGAAGTTTATTTGCGTGCTTATGGTTCCAGGGGAATTATAGTCCATTGTGGTGCGGAGGCATGGTGGTAGAGGTGGCTGGAGTAGGAGCAGAAAGCAGAGCACTCACATCTTCAAGAAGGCACAGGGAACAAGAGAGTGACTCAAGATTTAAGAGCTCTCAAGCCCATCCCCAGTGATGTGCTTCCTCCAGCATGGCCACACCTTCTAAGACCTCCCAAAACAGCCCACCAACTGGGGACAAAAATGTCCAAATTCTTGGAGCCTATGGGGGACATTTTCATTCAAACCACTACAGTCCCCTTGTCAGGACTTGGCCCAGCCTTTCTTACATTGCTGTAATCTTCATATAGGAATCAGGTGCTATTATTAGCTAGGTTTCTCATTTCACATAATTGAGAGTGGAAGGTTCAGGAATCCTCATATGACACAGCTGGTCAATGAGAGGAGACCTGCACCTGCCTGGGGCCACTTGAATTCTTCCTGGAGGAACTGTATATGAAATCTGGAGGTGTGAAAAACTACTTGGCCTTTGTTTTCACATGTGGGGTTGCATGGGGTGCTCAGAACTGGGTGGGGTATCAGCCTCAGGGCTCAAAGGCTACTGGAAGTTGGAGTTCTGTTTTTAGATGCAAGGTTAATGTGGGACAGAAAAGAAAAATAATCAAATGGTTCTTTTTATTTTGTAATAGTTTTATATTAAATGCTTTATTGTTTGTCATTTAAATGCATGCACTTGGGATGCCATTCTGTCCAGTGTTAAAAGTATTAGGAAATACTATGTATTAATCAAGCAGAAATAATGAATTATTTGATTTTTTTTCTTGTATCGTTTGTAGGTTGGAGAGAAAGTCTTTCCAATCTGGAGGTGATGGTTGGTTGAGCACTGCTTTGGAGGTATGGTGTGCAACTTAGGGGAAGAAGATGCACCTGGCCACCTGTGTACCTGCTGTGAAGTCCACACACATCTTTTACGTACTAACCCTTCCCACCTTGTAGGTGACATTGGGCTCCTCACAGACAAGCCCTTGGACTCCCAGTGTCATTCCTCCAGTAGACTGCAGGTGTTCACCCTATGGTGCCCATGGGCTGCCAGCGGGAGTTGTGACTGTGTTCCTAGTTCAGTGTAGTTCTAAGTTTCCTCAGACACATGTGCCAGCCTGTGTACCTGTGACTGTGATGTTTGCACCTTGTGTCAGTGGTGTCCTTGCTGCCCTTGCCTAGCCATTGCACCTGTAGAGTATAGGGTCCAGAGCTGTGCTTTGGTGTGGGAGATGCTGATCAACTATGTCTCAGTGCAGGGGTTGGTGGCAGCAGTGCATGCAAAGGGCTCTGCATGGGCAGTACAGCGTGTAGCTTTATATATGGGACATAGTACATGCTCAATAAATATTTTTTAATGAACAAATGCTCTATGTCCTATTTCTGTGCATATACATTGTTTCTCACAAGCACAGGATTACATACTGTGTATTGCCTTTTAGCCTTTTCTCAGTATCAAGTGTAAATTCTTTTGTATTGTTTTGATATTTAGTAAAATTTTGTTATAGAGTATATGATGAAAGTGCAACAGATCTTGAGTGTACAGATGAATCCTCATAAGGGCGGGCACACAAGACATGCACCCAGGCTGAGAGACATCCACAAGCAGAGACTCCATGTTCTCCTCTGACACCTCTCAGGCTTGTCAGTGGAACTGCATGCTGTGTATTCTTTGGTCTGCCTTCAGTTCAGCATTGTGTCTGTGAGATTCTTCTGAGTTGTGGGAAGTATGAGTAATTTCTCACTGCACAGTATTCTGCTGTAAGAGTAAACCAGGACCTAAGGCTGGAGAGATGGCTCAGTGCTTAAGAGCACTGGCTGCTCTTACAGAAGACCCGTGGTGGCTAACAACTATCTGTAGGGTTTCTTCTTGATTCTTCCTTTTCAAAGGAAAGAATCTAGTTGAGACACAGACAAGTTTAAACATGAGTTTGTTTAACAAAGCAAAATGTGTACTCCAAAGAGAGACTGGAGTAGAGCTATCCTGAAGGAAGGAGCAGTCCAGTGATTCTGTGCTGTTGATTTTAATTACATTTTTAATGAATACTTATGAAGTGACTGCCTAATCATGGGGTAAGGTGACTCTTTTCCCCTCCCAAGTCATGGTGGACCAGGTAACCCTTTTAGGGTTTCTTCCCATGGTTTTCTAGAGACACCCACAAAGGAAAATAAAAACCACAATGCAAATGATATTATAATGAATCCAGGGTCCTTCTGAGTATGCAGATATGTGTGAAAATGTGTGGGAAATGCCTGGGTACCTGACTGCAGCCTCAAGGATCTTTACCCACAAAGGGGCATTGTTATCACCAGGAAACATGGCTACCAAGATACAGCTCTAGTTGTCTTTGTTGCCACATAGTTAGCTCTTTGCCTGCCTAGTGTCATTCCTCACTCAAGAAATATGGACCCTGAAGATTTTATAAAGGAGGAGTTGAATTCTTCAGTAATTTCTTCACACTGAGAAGGGACACAGATCTTACCTTGGGGCAAACATTCTTGCTATCTATGCCACTGGAGTAGCCATTGTTATAAGTAGCAGGTGATACTGTTGATTGGAAGGTCCCATGAAAGTTTTGTCTCATTTGATCCAGTGTAGGGTGTGGTCTTAGGATCTGGTCCAGGAGAGATGAGCCAATACCTTTGTTGCATAACACCTTACAGTTTAATCTGTTGAGTTCCAGAAGACACAAATTTGAGTAGCCATTGAAGGGTACAGGGACTGAAGATGACAAGCAATATAAATCTTTAATTAGAGGGATAAGAGGGGCCAACCATCCAGTGATTAGAAAAACAAAAGACACTTGGCAGTATAAAGAAAGAACAGAATGGCTGACTTTGGCAGGAAGGAAACGTTCTATCCACCAGAGAAGAACAGTGGGAAGGTAAGAATCTCTTGTGCTATGGGAGTGAGAAGGGGCAGAGGATTCCCGCCCCACCCCCCTTCTGGAATCCCTTATGAGGCAGGAGAAAATCAAGATAGGAGACAGCTTTAGATATGGTCAGTTTTAGTGTGCCAGTTGTCTAGTGATGATTGGGGTTAGGGTTAGTGGTAGGGTTAGGGTTAGGGTTAAGGTATGGGGTAGGGATAGGGGTAGGGTTAGGGATAGGGATCAGATTAGGTTAAGTTTAGGGTTAGGGATAGGGTTCTGGATACTTTTAGGGTTAGGGTTTGGGCTAGGTTAGGGGTTAGGGTTGGGGTTAGGGTTAAGGTTAGGATTTAGGGTGAGGGTTAGGGTTTAGGGGTTGGGGTTAGGGTTAGGGATAGGTTATGGTTAGGGTTGGGGTTAGGGTTAGGGTTACAGTTTGGGATAAGGATAGGATTAGAGTTAGGGTTAGAGATAGGGTTAGAAGTAAGGTCAGGATTAGGATTAAGGTTAGGGTTAGGGAATAGGGTTTGGGTTAAGGATAGGGTTAGGGTTAGGATTAGGTTTAGGGTTAGGAATAGGGCTAGGGTTAGGGATAGGGTTTTAGGTAGGGTTAGCGTTATGGTTAGGGTTAGGATTAGGGTTAGGATTAGGATTAGGATTATGTTAGGGTAGGGTTACGGATAGGGTTAGGGTTAGGTTAAGGGTTAGAGTTAGGTGTAGGGATAGGGATAGGGTTTGGGATAGGGATAGTGTTAGGGTTAGGGTTGGGGATAGGTTTAGGGTTTGGGTTAGGGATAGGATTAGGGTTAGGTTTAGGGTTAGGGATATGGATAGGGGTAGGCTTAGGGTTAGGGATCGGATTAGGAATAAGGTTAGGTTTAGGGTCAGGGGTAGGGTTAGGGTTAAGATTCAGGTTATGAATAGGTTTAGGGTTAGGGTTAGTATTAGGGTTAGGTATAGTGTTAGGGTTAGGGTTAGGGATTGGTTTAGGGTTAGGGTTGTGGTTAGGGTTAGGGTTAGGGCCTTCTGCCTCTGTCTCTGAAGTGCTGAGACTATAAGTGTACAGGTGCCACTACAGTAAGGACTGTAAGTTTTTAAAAAGAACACCATAGAGGTGAAGTTCCCTTCCCATCATATCCTATGCAGGGGAAAGTCATTTGACAAGCTCACCACCAATGAATGGTAAGGCTTACCTTAACCACACAGTTAGGGATATACCTATTGGGTTTCTCCACCAAAAAGCAACAGTGCAGGGGACAGAACCAGGGCTCTGTGCTTGCAATATAAGTACACTGCCACCAAATTACATCCCCATCCTGAAATCCATATTTTAAAAATATTTTAAAGATCTATTTTTATTTTTAATGTGTGTGTGGGAGGGGTACCCACAAAGGCCAGAAGAGGGCATCCAATCACCTTGGAAGCTAGAGTTATAAGCAATTAAGCTATCACTCTCTCCAGTCTCTATTTTTAATTACCTTTCAAAAATCCTAAGCCATGCCTTTAATCCTAACACTTTGGAGGTGGGGGCAGAAAGATCAGGAGTTCAAGCCTATCCTTGGTTGCATGGAGAGTTCGAGGTCAGCCTGGGCTACAATGAGATCCAGTTTCAGAAGGAAAGAGAGGTAGAGAGGAGAGAGGAAGGAGAAAGAAAAAAAAGACTATGATTTGAAATGCAAAAAAGAAAATGTCTCCCTCATCTCTATCCCCAACAAAACCATTTCCTTGTGAATCATCCTAGAGGTATTTTATGCACAGAGAGGTAATTATATATATTTATAATGCTACACCTTTCTTACACAGTGTCAGCGGCCTAGCCATATCACTCTGCACACAACTTCAGGGTTTTTTGGTCTGGTGAGACCCTGAAGACTACCCAATTTTATTTTGTTAAAAATATTTTAGTATTTTTATGTGTATGTGTGTATTGCCTGCATGTATGTAAGTGTACCTGTGTTATGCAATGCCCATGGAGGGAGGACAGAAGAGGCTGTCAGATCCCCTGGAACTGTAGTTGTTAGGTGCCATGTGGGTGCTGGGATTTGAACCTGGGTCTTTTGTAAGAACAGACAGTGTTCTTAACTTCTGAGCCATCTCTCCAGTCCTGACGATCCAATTTTACCTCCAGGAGGGATGGGTAAGTAAATTACATTCTGTATATGGAGGGCCCAGCTATATCCACCAGCAGCTATATAAATAAATGGTGTCAGGTGTCATGAAAAAGTAAGATGGCAAATAAAATTGAAATTGAGGGGACCTACATTATGATTTCACTTGGGATCAGTTTGACTTTTAAGAGAATAAAAGTGTAGAAGAGGTTACAGGAAACTGTAAACCACTGAGATGAAGTAGAAAGCTTGTGAGTTAATGATTTCTTCCATACAAAGGTATGTTAAAGGTGGATCTGTGACCATACTTTAGGGTCCAGAAGGGAGCCACAGGTTAATAGCAAGATCTTGTCACTTTTTCCTTCTAAGGGACGGAGAGGTTATTTGGACTTCTAGAAACAATCTCCTTGGATTGACAAGCTTGCAGCTAATTGCTTTGTGGAAATGAGTAGAGCAAACACCCCACCCAGGGCAGGAATAAGATATAGATTCTTCAGACCTGAAATGTCAGGCTCCAGTTCATACGTTGAAGGTGCCTCGCACTCCAGTACTACTCACAGCCTGCAGGATGAAGCCTTTCCCTTAGCCTGCAACTGCTCATATATCCATCCTTCCCGCTCCTTCTAGGTTGTTGTTCCCCGGCCCTTGGGCCTTCCGACTACAGTCCCTGCTGCTTGTTGCCCTCGCATGCTCCACACCGCCAGGATGCCGTGACCAAGGACTTGGCGGAGGAAGCGCCGTGGAAGAAGATTCAGCAGAACACGTCCAACGCGCTGGTGCAACGAGCAGCTTGTCAAGTGCATGAACAAAAGCATCGGGAACCTGCAGACTGACCTGATCTACAGGCTGCGGCTCGTTGCTCTGCTGGAGGTGCTCAGCCAGAAGCGCATGTACGGTAAGTACCACCAGCGGCCCACCTTCCAACAGATGCAGTTGGAGAACATGTCGGTGGTGCTCAGAGTTCCTGGACCACGAGAGCATCAAGCTGCTGTCCATCGGTGAGTGGTGTGTCCTGGCCCAGGCGCCTGCGTGAGTTCGATCCTGCGCTTGTAGAAATCTGGGGTCCCGGCATCACGCCCCCACCAAGCTGACCTCAGAGATACCAGACTTGTAGTATGGAGCAGAAAAGTGACACCTCAGGTGAAGGGAAGAGAAAGGAGCCGCAGGGCAGAAGATACCAGCACTCATTCGTCAATTATGGGGCGCGCGGTCCCGCGGGGATCGGTCCCCTGGGCGCGCCCTGGAAGGCAGTTTCTCAGTCGCGCGTCGCTGTCCGCTGCTTGAGGTGCTGAAGGTCTCGCAGCACCGCGGCTCCGCGTCTCTGTTGTGGCAGCAGGTCTCAGCTTCTCCGCTGCTTCCCTGCGTCTTCCGTGGCTCTCTGCTG